TTTGGTACCGTGTTTTTTCTTCAGGTCTGCTGGTTCTAGTACCCCGGATCTGTTCCCGTGTGAAAGGCCGGGTTGTGGGGGGCAGTTCAAGTGCGTTCGTCATGTCTCGTTTGTGGATTGTCCAGGCCACGATATTCTTATGGCAACGATGTTGAACGGTGCAGCTGTTATGGATGCAGCGCTGCTGCTAATCGCCGGCAATGAGTCCTGTCCACAGCCACAAACATCCGAGCATTTGGCTGCTGTTGAAATCATGCAACTCAAACATCTGTTGATTTTACAGAACAAAATTGATATCATCAAAGTTAGTTTTTGTTATGCATCTTGTGCAAATGCAAAAACACATATTGTCGAGAGGTAATCCTTCTTCGTGTACGTGTTTGTTTGGAAGCAAGTAAAGTTTTTTTACTAGTTTTCAACTCAGTAACAAGGGAAGCTAGGAAGCTGAGGGGGGAGAGCATATTTCAACCATACCCATTTTCTGACTCAGGAAAGGGGACGATGGGCCTTACCCCCTTCCCCAGCAGCACACGCACCAGTGCTACAAAAGTTCGGGTCTAATGCTAAATGTGAAGAAAACTCTCTTTCGGGTGAATGCTAAATGTGAAGGAAACTCTTCGGTTCCCCCCGCTCCCAAAAGTTCCATCTTCCCTCTCCCTCGTCTCTACGCGTCACCGCACAAGTAGACCCATTTTGCCCCTCTCCCGTTTCCCCTTCGCCGCCGCACTCCTCCCGGTCATCACTCCTCCCCGGCAAGCCCTTCTGAATCTGCTTATGTCCGTACTCGTTTGAAAATCTACGCTCAAGTACGCTTGGGGCTCACATATTGAACCCTTGACAAAAAACGTAATTATTTTTTAGCGAGGCACGATTTTGGGAATTGTACAAGATAGAAAGCTGAAACTCTATGGGAATGTATAAGAATTTGGGAATCTGTAAAATTGTGAAAACGCGTTCTTTTGGAAAGGAATTTGCTGTTTGCAGGAGAGTCAGGCGCGTGAGCAGTATGAGCAGATTCGTAATTTTGTGCAAGGAACTGTAGCCGATGGTTCACCAATAATTCCAATATCAGCACAGCTGAAATATAATATCGACGTAAGCTGTTTCGTGTTTTGCAGCTAGATATTTGACTAGTTCTCTGTGGTCTCATAAAAGACCGTATAATTCATACCCAACCAGATAGGCCGGGAAAGGGAGGAGGGAGAGGGGAGGGAGGGGGGGGGGGGGGGGGGGGGGGGGGG